GTAACAAACAATTTTTTTTGTATATACTATACTTTTTTTTTTATAAGGATGTAAATTGAAAATTGTATTTAAAAAACTCTAGCGATTGATTTATCTTGATTCAGCAACAAAGAAATTCTTTGAAGATAAAAATAGAAAACCACAAAAATATGTACCAGAACCTGACTTATGTGTCGTTCTAAGTACCAACAATCAACTTATATTGCTTCAAACTCAGACACTAAAGGCAGCTCAAGCACATTATTAATATTATTACGCGTAGTTCTGTAGTTAAATTCAAAGTCAAAAATTCGAAAAAACATAATAAAAGAATGGTTTTTATTTGAAAGAAAATATACAGAAAAAAATAAGTAGTTTAATTAAGTAAAATTTCTAATTCAAATTATAACTTCCCATGATAATTATTCTTCTTACATCATTGCAATATACATATAATGATATAATAATTCTTTATTCATCTCCGGGACACACATTTTTACATAATTTGATAATCCTATTTTATCATTATCGTCGTATTAAGTGTTTTTTACTCGTATCAAGCGTTTTTAATTACGTCAAGGGCTTTTACTTTAGTCAAGGGCCTTTTATTTTAGTCAAATCGTCAAAATGGCACTGGTGAGAAATTACCTTTAGTCAATACTTTAGTTACGTCAATGACTAAAGTCAAAAGTTTCGTGATACATCATTACAAACATGAAAGATTCGGGAAATTTTTTTTCAACTGAACAAACAACCTCTCCTTAAAGAAGCAGCACGTAGAATTTTTGCTCCAATATGGTCGGCAAGAAGACACCCTATTTATCAATCAATTGAGGTGGCTGATGAATAACAACAATTACGCCTTTGTCGTGAAGTTCGTCAGATCATTGAACAAAATTCTGTTGTGTCTAGGTCTGGATGGATGTCCCAACACCAGGGTTTAGATGCTATACTTGAAGAGGTGAATAAGGCATTAAAAGCACTTATACCACCTGTTCCTACACAAAACATTGGGAGTTTGCCGTTAGGAATTGCATCAAGTTTTTGATGGTAATCATTAATATTATTTGTATTGTAAAAAATTTTTTTTATACTTAAAATTTTTTTACCACTAGCTCGAAAGAAATTATTTTCTACAATTGGTTATGTTGATCATGAAAGTACAGGTTCTCATTCATGCCCAGACTTTGGAAAAGCATCCCAGCACTTTTGAATAGAATTAAGAAAAGCTGGTTTCTTGGATCCATCGTGCCTTTGAAAGCTTGGATAAAAATAATAAATTAAGTGAGGCAATGAAATCATTTAGCTCAACAGCTAAAGCTAATCGAATAGATTTCAATTATCAGAAAATTCAATGAAAAACAGGGGATTAATATTGATAATTCAATCCTTAATTGGATCATTAAATGAAACCAATCATCCATAGTTCAAAGGACTAGCATCAAAAAAGAAAGAAGAAATTACTATTGATTTTGCAACAAATTAAAGATATCCACAATGGGACTGACAATGGTGAAGTAGAAGAGATGGTTTGAAAGGAAACAGTAGCAAATATGAAAACAATTGAATCATGTATTGTGTAGTAATAAGATAAGTATCATCTAATGTATAATTTATTGATTATTTAATTCTAAATTTTTTGCCAACCCAGAAATTTGATCCTTTTCCCACAAATTGATGTTATCAATAAAAATTTAATTGATCACATTTTATTTCTCTTTAAATTATTTTTTAGACATACCATACATGCTTAAACCAATAATAATGGATAATAACAACTTCATTATTCATTCATCATCATCAACAACAAATCCTTAATGTCAGATAATATTAACAACATAATAGAGAGAAATGATTCAGATCACAATTTATCATCATTGTATTATTATTAATTATATTAATCATTTTGTTCATGAATGGACAATAAATTTTTGATTTTTACATGTATATATAATTTTTCTTGGTATTCTTTAATTAGAGTTTCTATTCATAATATAAGTTTATTCAATTATTCAATTATTTGTTTTGTTCGTTTCATTCAAATAATATCAATTTCAATTTTTTGCCACGTCGATCACTACATATTTGGAAAGAACCTGACTGTAATTGCATTCTTTAATTTACGAAATAACCAATCGTCACCTTCCAAGAGGCTTTGTTACTTCTAGGAAACCATCTACAAACATTTTTTGCAGTTACGTATATTGTGATTACACTAACTATACCAAATTGAATAATTGTAGTGTGCGTACTCGCGTGTGGACATGGTTATCACAATCATTGTCTACAAAGGTGCCAATCTAAATATTTGATATCTTGGACTATCTTCAAGTCGAAATCAAAAAAATGTCAACGCACTAAAAAAGAAAGTATGACGAAAAGATTAAACGAAAATGAGTTTATCGAAAATACAGTTGATGATGATCTGGGTAATGTTGAATCAGATGATGCAGCAACTATAGAAATTTTATTAAAAACCATTTTTTGTGTTGTAAAGTTTTGATTTTATTAAATAAATTTGTTTGATTTTTTCATACATCGTTCGTGTTTTGTCTTAATCGTATATCTTAAATATTGGATGTGTTTACAATCATTTTGTCGACATTCATTATATTAAGTTATTTTGATTATATCGAGAGATATGGTCAAGAGAAGAGTTAGGAAGAGAGTTATTCTTCGACCAAATCGAAAACCAACCTTTAAATCCATTTTCGAGTAGTACAATTTAATTTATTAGACTATTTCAAAGGTTTGTCTCATGGTTGCTTCCAACTTCTTAAATTCGAATAACTGTTGATGAAGTGATTGTTGACAAAATGAATCAAGCCAACATTTATTTTTGTTATCAAATTCACGATTTTGATTGGTCAACCAACAATTGCATGGGTTAAAATTTTGTTACCTGTTCTTATTCCTTCGCTCAAACAAATAATTGTTTTTTATGTGTCAATACTTAATAAACGTTCTGGCCTTGGGGTAATTCTTGTTTATTAAGAAATTGGTTCAACGTGGAATCATTGACAATAAAAAATTTACATTAACAATTATTTAGCTGAGTGAAGGAATAATTGATAATATATTATATTTAATCGGATGAATAATTGTGTATTAGCAAATAGTCTTTCAAATCAAAACTTGTTATAAGTATTTATACATTGAATCTCATATTCCTTTTCTAATTAGAATTGCATTTTTCCGGATGTTCAGAATCAGTGTAACATTCGCAAAGTTATTGAGATGAAATGTGTCCTTTCTTTACAGAGAAGGAAGGAACCAACACCTGGTGACTTTCTGGCTACTTCAATAACATTCACTCAATGCTCCCTGCGCCAATGAATCGATGATGTACTAAAGAAGGATGAAAATCAAATAATAGAGGGAATGAAAAAACAATGTCATGAAATAATAGATGGAAGTCAAAGGGATGAAACTCAAAAGGAAATAATCAGGGAAATGAATGAATCAATGGCCGAAATAAAAATCATTTTTGTTTGAAACTATTGATTTTATTTTTTTATTAATTAATTTTCATTTTCAGCAAGTTTAGTATCAAAAATAAAAATATTATTATTAGAAATTTCTTCTGGATTTAATAAATCATTTATTTGCAAACTGCAAATGCCAAAATAATTATTTTTATTTTTTATTTTATACAAAGAAAAAAGGCGTTGGAAGAATTGATATTTATAAAACATACCTTGATCTTGAGTTACTTCTACCAAATCCATATTCAAATAAACTCGTTTTTATATAATTATAATTATTAAAAAATTTTTTTGTTTTTACATTACACTATTTCTGTTGGGATTTTGCGCCCTTAATGACATTAACTTTTGGGTAGAATTTACAACTTTTCTCTTGCATATTAGTTCAAATGTAATTATCCGAGGTCCTAGATAAGCTCATCACCACCTTTCAACTCTTGGCTTTTACTTTCAGTTATTTGGTAATGTTATACGGGGATGTGACTTTGAGATATAAATAGTGGAAGTTTGTTTTGATTGGCTAAATATTCAATGATAGTCCCAGATTGATCACTGGATGGCGCAATACTACATAAAAATCATTTTTTGAATGTAAATAAATAATCACATTTCAACGAATTTTGTTTCAACGTATGTACTATTAATTCGAATAATTTGAATTGAAATAAGAATTTGTATTATGAATAGAAACTCTATTATTGTATTTTTTTTATTTTTTTTTTGGGCAAATGTATCATACAAGTGGGCCCATCTCAACTAAATGTCTATCTATGCCATAATTTCAGACGTAAAAATAAAATGTCAAGAGAAATTTTTTTTAGCCGGGACACATAGTGGGTGAGGTTTAGCCTTTTTTTTTCAGTTGGGACGACAGAATCTGTAACCCCACCTGCACTCCGTATGGTTTTTTTGATATTTGTTGTTGACGCCTTTGACGCCTTTGTCGTCGTTGGTTGTTGGTTGTTGGTTTTTGGTTTTTGGTTTTTGGTTTTTGGTTTTTGAATTCAAATTTTTTCCTTTTTTTTTTAAAAAAAAAAAAAAATAAACAATATATATACGATAAGGTTATGAAAAACAATCTATTCTTTGTTAGGATGGATTCCATAAATGGGTTTTTAATATGATGGTTCTTTTACATAAACACGGGTAGAAATTCCTTTTTGATTGGCCAATTTAATTTTCACGTATAGATTTTTATTTTCACATACAAAATCGTCACTATGCTATTAGCGACCACATGGATTAGGCGTTACTGTACATATATTAATATTAATATATCGTCATCACTACATCCTTCCCAATTGACCTATGTCACACATAATAGTTTTTAATATAGAACAGCCTGAATATTTTACAAAGACTTTGTAGATTGTTTCTTAAAATTGGACACGTACTAGTGATGATAATGTAGTAGGCATGGTATACCACAATAATTATAGTAAAGACTCGGTTCCATTATAAAGAAAAATCTCTTTATAGCGAGCTTATTATATATAAATAAATTGAAAAGTCCCATGAAATTCATGGTAACTAAGTCTAAACTATCTGATAACTATATACTGTTTCCACTTCTTTCTCTTCATCAGAATTGTCAACCTCGGGGTTTGGCCTCACTGCTCTAACGGTTTCTTTGTCAGTTAGTTCTTTGTACTGGTACTTCATCATTAAATAAAACGTTCTGCGGTGATTGGATCTTGCAGATAAATTTGTAAATTAACCAAGGTTATTTTTTGACACCACTAAAAAAGAGGACGGTGTGTAAATTAATTGATTGTAAAAAGGATACTTTTCCGAGGGCCAGAGCTATAATCGCAGTTCCATATGGAATTGTTTTCACAGATCTGGTTTCTGGTGTGAACATTCTACATCTTACGGTCAATGGTGCTCAAGGGTTCTTATAACCTGGACTGCTAATTATGCATTGTAACAAAATAATTGGCTTGACTTTAAATTAGATCCAGCAAAAACAACAAACGATCAATGGATCGATCGTCATATTATCTTAATATGTACGAGTTAATTGAGCATTAGAATTGGAAGAAGAGATTAAATTGGCTCGTTAAAAAGAGAATATAAAATTCAATAAAAAAAAAGGAGTTTTGACGGTTAATTCTTTATAATAATGACTCATCAATTGTGTTGGTAGGGTTGTGGGGACGTGCTCCGATAATCTGTTAACCAGTTAATCTTTTAGCTTGTCTACTCAAACAAAATGCTCATTTCCAGATTAGCATATTTATATGCATTAAGTTGATTGTCCAATTAATACACGGCAACAATGCATCTTCTTTGCTTGTTTAAGATCAATTTGGATTAGACTATCTATTCATTCGTAATTATCAAATAAAACAGATATCTTCAATAAAGGATTATTGTGAGATGGTGACAAAATCACCAATCAACTGTGAAATTTGAGAAATTGCTTTTAAGTGATTAAAAAAAAACGGACTTTATGGCAGAACTTTTTTATTTATTTGATGACGTATATTTATTTACATATATATTACTGAAATTTATTTGTAATTTCTCAACTTTTATAAACATCAATTTTCAATTTTCTCAATAATTCAGTTGCTTTTGGGTGTTTGTCTAAAGCAGCTAATCTCAAGAATTTAATTCCTTTCTTTATATCTTTGGGAAATCCAAGCTTTCCACTATAATACAAATCACCTAAATTATACCTAGCTGTTGTATTTCCATTATCGGCAGATAATTTAAGGTACTTGATAAATAAATTTTTATCAAATTTTTTATTATTCACCAAAGAAAATGCATAACGTAATTGAGCATCACCACTTCCTTCATCAGCAGCTTCTTGAAATAACCTAATGGCCTTTTCTTTATCCACATGACCACAATATCCTTCATACAAATAATATCCTTTCCAATATTTAGCTAATGTACTTCCTAGTTCAGCATGAGCTTGGAAACAAATCCATGCCTTTTTCCATTCTTTATTTTTATGTGCTCGAAGACCTTCTTCAAGTGTAATAATTGGCATAATTGAATCAGGTTTGTTAGCTTCTAAAAATCCCTTGTCATCACTAACAGAAACAGAATGTTTACTACGTGCTATAGTACCATCTGGATTTCTCCTTTTTTTGGGAAATGGAATATTTTCATTGCTTTTACCATATTTTGAGGCCAAATTATCCAATTTTAAGAAAATATGTTGAAGGGATAATCTTGTTGTAGGATCATCTTCCCAAGCTTATCAAAATAATAAAAACATTGAAATTTATATTATTACTATTATTTTCTATAAAAAGGTTAAAAACTATAATTTACAATTTTGATAACTTACCGCCTGTAAAAATATGTGAATATTCTTCTTGTAGTTTTAATGTTCTTTTATCTGAATAATCATAAGTAATTAATTCTCTTCCGGAATTTAATACATGTTCTTGAATTGTTGGCATATCCCATTTGTCATAAGGAATTCTTTCAAATCCAAGCTCCCAAAGCAACATTGCAAAGCTAATTTATGTCAAAATAAAATAAAAATATGAGGATACTATGTTATGCATTGTGCGTATTATATAATAATAAAATCATATTTTACCTAAATATTTCACTTTTAAAATTATAAGATGGTTTAGGTGATAACATTTCTGGTGCTAACCAATGAACATTAGTTGAATTTTCCTGCCTTTTAGTATTTTGAATAAAATTTGCAATTTTTGGTTCTTTTTCTTTAGTCATCTGCAAATAAAATATTATTTTAGGTAAATATATTTACATACATACACCACACACATAATATGTTCGTATAGTTTTATTTTATTACCATAATATTTCCACAACGTATATCACGATGAAGGATTTCACATGCGTGTAAAAATGCAAGCCCACGACAAATTCCAAGAGCTATTGATACTTTGTCAGGCCAACTAATGACATAGTTGTTGTAAACATTATCCAAATTGCCCATTTCTGCCCATTCAAGAACCATAACTGTTGAAACATCATCAACTGTAGAAAGACCATAGAATCTCAATATATTCTTTGAATCACGTAATTTTTCCAACACAACTAGTTGTTTTTGAATCTTTTGATATTCATTAGCTGATAGATCACGAATCATTATATACCGACAAGCAACTTCTATATCATCTTTTAAAATTTTTTTGCGAATCCTTTCTCCTCGGAAATCAGATGATTTTTTATACTTGGGATCTTGTAACATGTTTTGTGGTATTTGAATTGCTTTTATAGAATCATCTTGATTGTATATTGATTCTAATAGAGCTTTGATAGTAATTGCTAGTCGCAAAGATGTATTCATTTGTTGGTTATCATCAACAATTCCACCGCCAATTGATTTCCAAAACTAAATATATATAGTATATATATACGTTATAATTATAATGTTAATCAAAATTATATTAATAATAAATAATTTTTACCTTTTTCATGTCTTCATGATCCTCTTTGAAATTTTGTTGATCCTTTTTTTTTTGTTCTTCAGGAGCAATAGTCATTTTAAATTTTAAATTTTCTATGATGGTATCAATTTCTCGAGTAAGTTTTCCAAACATCTCTTCAAAATTCTTTGCAGAATTGTATTTATTATATCCAGGAAGATGAGTAATATCATTAAGAAATGTTTTTATTTCTGTTAATATAGTGGTAAAACGTACAAAGTGCTTGTAATAGTCTACATTACGAAAAAGATATTCATTTTCTTCTTTTCTACGTTCTAGATTTTTAATTTGAAATGGAGCAACGCCTAGACGATCTAAAAACACATTACAAATCTTTTTGTTATATTCTGCATTTTCAAAAATATCAACAATTTGATTTATCACAGTATTTGCTGTGGTTATTAAAGAAGCAAAAGGTTTAAATGCTTCCCCCACAGAATTAGTAGTATTGTGTGATGGTTTATCCATTATTATTTTCTGAATAATGAAGGATAAATTGACCCTATTTATATACGAATGCCCTATATAAAAAGGTCTGGAAAATTATAGTTATAGTGGTACTGGTAAGGAAAATTATATTTTTCCGTGTTAAAAATAGATAGCATCAGGAAAATTTTCAGATAAATTATCAAAAAATTTTAAGTTAATACCATGTTACAATTTTCTTTTTTTCCGAAAGTGTTCGCAGAAATTAAAGTCATTTGTTTGTTCGGCTTTATCGGGTTTATATGCATGTGTACTACATATAAATGTGCGTCTAAACTAAATTATTTAAACAATGTCTAAAATATAGATTAATTTAGACAGAGACAATTGTGCACCATGATTGTCTAAAATGTTGAAATTGAATTTTTATTGGATAATTTACCGAACTTTGTGTATTTAAAACAAATCATTACTATTTATATTAATTTAGACATTTAACATTTTTGTCTAAATACTATTTTGACTTTAGACAAACCCAAAAACAATTTAGGCGCCCCATCTATAGTACTACTACTACCATAAATTAAACTCCGGTTTAAATCCAGTTATTTTTAAAGTAAAATTTCGCGGAGATCGGGACCGGTTAATCAGTTAACCCGGTTAAAGGTAGGACCGAGTAACTATATGTTACTGCAAAATCAAATGGTCAAACATATAAATTCGAATCTTGCTTTTTTTATATTTGTGCGAATCAAAATAGCCTGTGACATGCAAAATTTATTAGCAGATTATACGATAAATCACTATCTATTAAAATCAAATTAAAACTCAAATTGGAAGATGAGCATGCCATCGGAAAATAAACTACGACTTGTGGTGTAATATGAATCACCTGCCAAGTTTTTACATGCAACATATCAATAAACTTTAATAGAAATATATGATAAATTATCCAAAAATCATGCAAGTTTTTCAACTTATGCATTATTGATTGATCCGTTTATTCGCAATCCAATTTTTACTCTTTTAAACTTTGCACTTTATAATTGCTTCCAAGTGAAATAGATTTACCATATTTACAAATAACTTTTTAACTATATAATAATATCACGAATTATAATGCAACCAGTGGGTGGCCTTTTCCTTTTCTTCTTCTTCCTTATTAATGTGTGGGCGGTGACATTTTTAAATTTTAAAGTACTACTGAATCATAGTGTTGGTGGTGACATTCAATAGAGATTTCCCAGCCCTGTTTAATATTACCTGGTTAAAATACACTCAAACCTCATTTCAACGGATCTAAGGGACTGACCGCCTAGATCCGTTGAAACGAGATAATGATTGACACGATCAACAGGCATAATAGTTGCATGCTTTTTTTAATTTGCTTGATAGGAATTTCAAGCCATCTATTAGATTCTTTCAATATATCACTAACTTGGATTGTGCTAACGTTATGGTTTTGTGCTAATTAAATATTCTTTTGTTGATGTTTAGTTTGTTTCAATAAATATAACTCGCGTTTTTGCTCAGCGGTAACATGTACACGTTTTTTGGAAGAAGAAGAAAAAGATATTTTATAATTTAAAAAAACTATTAATTGTGTAGAATTATTATATAGAAGATATTTATTTATTATCAATTTTAAAAAATTCAATAAAGAAATTTCACCTTTATATATGCATTTAGAAGAGAGTTGAATCTTTAATTAAACATTAGTAAGGTTTTGCTTTTTAGATAATTTTATTTGAAGAATTATTAGTGTAAAGACATTATTTAAAAATATGATTAGTAATGTAGATTTATTTTTTTTTTTGGAATTTGAGGATCATTCGTGTAAAATACGGAATCTTAATGTGATTTATTTTTTAATATTAAATTATAATTGGGAAAATTATATCACGCGAATCCGTTGTAACGCGATTAGTATTATCTATTGCTAAAATCCTGCCAAAACCCATTGTCCGTTGAACGCGATTTAGATATCATAATCAACGCCATCAAAACTTGAAAATTTGAAGACATTGTTCTCCACTATTTATGTCACGTGATTATCTAAATGGTTTATTCTAAAAAAAAACATTCAATAATTTTGCAGATGGTTTCCAAATTCCCTTGTCTAAAAAAAAAAGACGTTTTTAACTGCTTTACTAGTTGAACGTTTAATACCCAAATACTTTGAAAATGTTTAATGATAGAAGATAAAGAATTCTTTAAAAAAATGTTACTGTATAAACTTTAAGGCATTTGAGGATCAATTATGTTCAAAAATATATTCTTGATCGAATTTCGTTGTCAACATTTACATATTGATATGTTGGAATATATGATAAAGATGCTAAAAATTCGCGATCACAAGAAATTTAAAAAATTACTTCTTTTTTTACTTTTAATTTTTTAAGAAAAAGTGTAAGGACGATGTCTCATTTGGAGAGTGTATATATATATACATTATAATATGATTTATTACATAAATAAATTCTAAACCTTGTTTATAATAGGTCTTTGATGTAACAGAACAGATTTTATGTTATTAGAGTCCATCTGAATAGGGATATTTGCTGGCGAATAGTTTTAGGCACGATTTTATTATTTCTCAAGTCGAACTTTTTTTTATTCAAGAAAGTTATTGTTAAGGTACATGGAATTCAAGTTTTTTTTTAATATACATAATGTTTCATTATAGGACTATTCCCTCATGAAGTCTACTCTATCAATTCTAATGATGTTGTCTACTAAGGCTGCTATTGTACCTCGTCAACTTTGACTATTTTGTAGTCTTAGTTTTACTCTAACCCGAATTTTTTAAGCGGTGTTCTTGGAACCGGTTCCAAAAAACCAGTCTTTGAGCTGAGTCGGTACAGTACAACCCTACTTTATAAGCATCAATTCTCAATTTTCTTAATGGTTCAATTGCTTTCGGGTGTCTGTCTGAAGCAATTTATTTCAAAATTTGATTCATTTATTTGCATCTTTAGGAGCTCCAAGTTTTCCATTATAATACAAAATCGATCGAGCTGTTGTGTTTCCATTATCAGCAGATAATCTAAGGTATTTAATAAATAAATCTTTATCAGCATTGTTATCGTCCACCATATAATGCATATAATGCTATTGAGCATCACAATTTTCATCAGCAGCTTCTTGAAACAATTTAATAGTATTTTCTTTATCCACATGACCATAATATCCTCATACAAATAATATTCTTTTTGAGCCTTTTTCATCTCTTTAGTTTTATCTGTTCGAAGACCTGGAATAATCGGCATAATTGAATCAGGGTTATTAGTTTGTTTAACTTTTAAAAATTCCTTGTCATCATCACTAATAGAAACGGAGTGTTTACTATGTGTTATAACACCGTCTGAATTCCTTTCTTTTTTGGGAGATGTAATATTTTCATTGCTTTTACCATATGTTGAGGTCAAATTATTCAATTTTAAGAAAATATGTTGAAAGGATGACCTTATTGTGGAATCATTTCTCCAAGCTAATAATAGAATAATAGAAAACATATTAATACTTTATTGTTTTCTATATAAAGATCAAAAATTCTATAATTTACAGTTCGACTTACCTATAAAGATATTTGAATATTCTTTTTGTAGTTTAATTTTTCGCATATCCCATTTTTCATGATGTATTCTTTCAAATCCAGGCATTCCAAAGCTAATTTATGTGTTTTTTGTTCAAAATAAAAAAATGTATATATATATATAATTAAATGAAAATATAGATATACATTGTAATAATAGATAGAAATAAAATCATCTTTTACCTAGATATTTCACATTTAGAATTATAATATTGTTTAAAATCACATGATAAACTTTCTGGTGCTAACCAATAGACAACATTTTTCAATTCTCTAGTAGCACCTTGAACATCAAAATTTGGTTCCTTTTTTTTAGTAATCTGATTTTTTTTTAAATAAATAAAATAAATATTATTTTAGATGAATATATTTACATATTTATATATATACACTCATAACATATTTTGTATGGTTTTATTTGTTTACCATAATGTTTCCACAACATATATCATGATGAAGTATTTTACAAGAGTATAAAAATATAAGTCGATGACAAATTCCAAGAGCTATTGATACTTTGTCAGGCCAACTAGTGACATAGTTGTTGTAAACATTATCCAAATTGCCCATTTCCGCCCATTCAAGAACCATAACTGTAGAAAGATCATAGAATCTCAATATATTCTTTGAATCATGTAATTTTTCCAAAATAATTAGTTGTTTTTGAATCTTTTGATATTCATTATCTGATAGATCATGAATTATTATATACCGACAAGCAACTTTTTCACTATTTTTTAAATTTTTTTTGCGAATATAATATGGCCTTTCTCCTCGGAAATCAGATGATTTTTTATACTCTGGATCTTGTAACATATTTGGTGGTATTTGAGTTGCCTTTATAGAATTATTATTATCACCTTGATTATCCTTTGATTCTACTTGAGTTTTGATAGTATTTACTTTTTGCAAAGATGTGTTCATTTGTTTGTTATCGTCAACAACTTTCCAAACCTAAATTTTTAAAAAATATATATATTATAATTATAATGATAATTAAGATTATATTAATTATAATGAATAATTTTTTAACCTCTTTCATTGTTTCATAACTCTCTTTTAAACTTTGTTGATCAATTTTTTTTTGCTCCTCGGGAGCAATAGTTGTAAATTTTAAATCTCCCATAACAGTATCGATATCTCGAGTAAGATCTTCAAATATCTTTTCAAAATTTTTTGCAGAATTATATTTATTATATCCAGGATAAGTAATATCACTAAGAAATTCTTTTATTTTTAATAATATAGTGGTAAAACGTAAAAAGTGTTTGTAATATTCACCATCACGAAAAATGTGTTCATTTTCCTCTTTTCTACGTTCAAGGTTTTTAATATGATTTTTAGCAACATCCACACGATCTAAAAACACATTACAAATCTTTTTGTTATACTCTGCATTTTCAAAAATATTAATAATTTGATTTATCATAGCGTTTGCTGTGGATATTAAAGGAGCAAAAGGTTTGAATGCTGAATCAACAGTGTTAGGTGGTAGTTTATACATTATTATTTTGTGAATGAGTGAATTATTCGAGCGGATGAAATTGACTTTCGGAAATGCTGGAAAAATGTAAGGAATTTTCCTTTCAGATGAATTTTCCACATTTTTAGAAATCTTGATGATTTTGCTGATACCAATACAAAAGGCATAGCAAAATATCGTATAGTAAAAAAATATCTCATGTTTTTGTGATTATACATCAATTTCATTGGGACATCATATTCTTTGGACGTCTTCTAATTCTTCTGACCATAAATGTTCAATTGAGTTCAAGTCAAGTAATATTTTTGAATTTGGAACAAAAACCACCACGGTGAAATCTGGCGTTTAACGTTGAAAGGTTTGTATTTTCAATGTTAAAGTCAAAATATTTGGTATAGTTATTAATAATAATACCCATAATCTCAGTGCATTCTAAATAATGTGTAAATAGTTCTAAGAAGGAGACATTGATGTCATAAGAAAAATAATTCATATCCCTATAAAAAAAATGATCCGTTTTAAAATTCCGATCATGTCGAATTTTATCCAATACAAATCAGGTATTTAACTGTTCTATAGTATTTTTGTCCCACCACATACAATGAGAAGATTTGGTAGACAAAGTAAAGAGTATACGGGAAAATAAGTTTTTATGAAATGCAAGGTATTGGTAGGGATATCATCAATAAAATAAAAATTATATGTTTACTATTTAGTGAATGTAATCATCTTTATGGATTGTACTATGGTTGACTCGGTCCAAATATTTACAATGCTGCGCCACGCGATCAAATTTCAAAAATTGCGATTGATTTCTTCATGAAAATTTTTCAAAAATGCAATAATAAAAAAAATGGGTCTTCACGTGATTTGGATTTTAAAAATTATTTTTGCTGCCAAATTTAGATAATCGTAACCATGTACTAAAAAAGAACAACAAATAAATTTTTAAAAATAGACTATTATATCAACTATGAAACTAATGAGGTCACTCTTTTAAAAAGGTAGATCAGAAAGTGACTTCTATACTTTTAAAATTTGTGCGAATTTGAGGAGTCTTTAGACCGAGCTAATTATATGTTAATAAATAGATCAGTACTAATGATTTTTTCCAAAAATGTATCATATTTATGTAATTTATTGCAGTTACAAATTTATGGAATATTTCTGGAATAAAAATAACGGAATTTTTTTTTTACGGGATATATGTCTGTTTGTTAATATTTAATTATTTATTTTATTAAAGTAGAAGCGCAATATAATTTCATAACAGCAGAAACGAAGTGAAGTCTTTGAATTAAAACTTTTTTGTCAGAAATATCTTTGGGAAGGACATTTTTTTATTCGTCATTTTCCTAGACATCATAAAGGAGTAGAACTTGCATGAAACCTATGATACAATTCTTTTGTGTTTTTGCTATGCGGGGTTTTGCGTAATCCATTGTGTTAGGGCGTGCAATATTTTGACCATATAGTGTAGTTTCCAAATTGTTTTCCAAATAAAAATACAAATACTTTAAAAAATGGAATAGTCTTTTTATTCCGAAATCCATTTTATTCCGAGAAAGTAAAAAATTTAATTGATATTTAATGATGGAAAATAAAGAATGTTTTTTTAAAAAAAATCGGTACTGTGTAAATTTTAAAGCATTTGAGAATGCAACTACAACAGTTTTTCTAAAAAAAAATGATCCGTGTTTTAAAATTCCATATTTTTTCCAGGAATGCACATATTTATGGAGAAATTTTGCAAAGGAAACATGTAATTTGTTGCTGTTACAAATTTATGGAATATTCCTGGATTTGAAATTAAAAATAACAGGGTATTTTTTTCTATAAATGATTTGCTACTGTTAAACTTAAATTGATAGATTTGATGAAAATTTTCTTAAATTATTCAAAATGTCAAGATTATAATTAGATGATTGATTGTGATGTATTTCATAGCCGCTTTCAAAATATCCATAAACTAGATTGTTACGGTTTCTGAATTTTCAATAGATTGCAAATTATGTGATCTGGCTCAACTAATTAAAGAACTATTCATATAAGCAATATCTAAATTCGCCAGAGGAATTCAAAAGGTAATTGCAATTCATTCAAAATCAATAACTATATTAAATTAACATTGCAAGCTAATGATGTATGACGAAACTTTTGACTTTTAGTCATTGACGTAACTAAAGTTTTGATGATTTGACTAAAGTAAAAGCTCTTGACGTAAGTAAAACCACTTGACGTAAGTAAAAATGCTTGATACAAGTAAAAACACTTGATACAAACAAGCAATAATTATCAAATTATGTAAAAATGTGTGTCCCGGAGATGAATAAAGAATTATTATATCATTATATGTATATTCCAATGATGCAAGAAGAACAATTATCATGGGAAGTTTACAAATGTTATAATTTGAATTAGAAATTTTACTTAATTAAATTACTTATTTTTTCTGTATATTTTCTTTCAAATAAAAACCGTTCTTTTATTGTTACATTAAAATCAAATTGTCTTTACATACATATGAGTTATGTTTTTTCAAATTTTTGACTTTGAAGTTAAATACACGTAATAGTAATACGCAATATTATTAATAATGTGCTTGAGCTGTCTTTGGTGTCTGAGTTTGAAGCAACATAAGTTGAGGTACTTAAAACGACCTTTACATAGCACATAAGACAGGTTTTGGTACATATTTTTGTAGCTTTCTAATTTTTATCACCTTTAAATTTTCAAAGAATTTCTTTGTTGTTGAATCAAGATAAATCAATCGCTAGAATTTGGTGATTGTGGAGTTTGTTTTTTAAATACAATTTCAATTTACATCCTTATAAAAAAAAAAAGTATAATACAAAAAAAATTGTTTGTTACACGCCATTCAAAGAAAAAGGAAATAATCTAGCCGTTATTATTATTATTATTCTC